CTAATCGGTGAAAAATGAAAATATAAAAAAATCGATTCAGGTAAATGACCCTCGTAATATATTCCGGGTAAAATAATTAAATGTACATTGATGTCATGTTTCATAAATCAAAATTTTAAAGGCGCAGTTTACTTTCATTTTCAAAGAATGACACTAATATGAACATCGGGACTCGATTATCTGCGCTTATCTTACCTACCTTTCAAAATTAACAGTATAATGACAGATTTTTTTTTGTAAAATTTAGGAATTTCTGCTAGTAATTTTGCTGGAATGTACGATAGTACAGTCTTCAGAATTCCAGTCGTAAGTGTCAGTCGTGAAGTTGACAAAAATAAAAAAAATATTGAAATGAAAATGATCGATTTCCTTTCTATCTCTTCTCCATCAATATAAAAAAAAATACCTTTGGAAAGCCAGAATTCATGCTGACTAGCCACGAGAAATATACTATTAAGACATTTCGTTTAATCTGCTAAAAGGTAGCGGAGGGATAATGTATTTTGTAACTGTTAATCACTAAGTACTAAGGTAAATCTGCAATCATCTAAAACGACTGACAATGTTCATTGAAAATTACCTTAGATCATTAGCAAAATAATTAGCCACGCCTTTAGAATAAACATTATTGTTTTTTTACGATTCTTTTCATTGAGAAGCAGAAGAGAAAAACAAGAGAATTTGTTTATGAACAACCTATTACAGCATTCATTTTTAATTAAAATATTTATAATATATAGTAATGCAATATTAGCTTCCTTTACCTTAAGTCTCTGTTTTGACATATTGTGGTCAGCAAATCAACTATCACGGACATTGTTTTTTTTTAGACTTTTCTTTTAAGTACCAGAATCAATTATTATTAGATATCTTGATAGTAATTGACCATGTCAGTTATTAATTATATGTTAATTTTTTCAAATTTCAATGCTCGTTTAAGAATGTGTTATTGTGTGCGTAGAAACATGTAAATTGTTATATCTCTATGCTTTATGAAACCAGAGCCGCGTGGAATAAGAATCTAAATAGGCGGTACTAAAAAATAATATTTCATAATGTAAGAGATAGCAATCTATATCCAGTTATATTGCATGTATATGTTATAAACATAAGCCGCTGACATGACAAAAAACTTTGATTTTGTATTCATTTTATTAAAAAGGGTTGTAAAATTTGGCCTCAAAATCTTATTTAAATAAACCCATCTCATTAAAACTATGTTTTTTTACATTATGATCATTTTGCAAAAAAGTAAAACATGTTTTATACCTTAAAGGAAAAATAGAAAAAATTTAATCGTCGGATTAAGATAAAGCCCTGTATTGCTCTTTTTTGCTGTTTTTACCAGTTCGATGCGCATACAAAATTTTGATAATATGTTTTTGAATCATCAATGTTCGATTTTATTACAAAAATTGGGAGATATCTGTTTTTATGGAATCTATTGCTTACTCAAATAACATCCATAAAAAATAGATTATAGTACCACAGAAATAAAAAAAAAATGATTTAGTAGTAAATTTGCTTTGTTTGTTAAATAAGCTAAATAAAAATAGTAGATGACATAAATATAACGTATTTCGTGTATTTAATAACATTAATTTGTATAAAAATAAATGGAAAAAAAACGGTATAGAAATAGTGTATAAAGCCACTTAAGGACCACTTGTTTGTGAGAAAATTTGAGAAAGATATGTGGCAGATTGGAAGGAAGTTGATTAAAGATATAATAAATGTATAGTATGAATTGTGTCTGACATATCTATATGACTAATAATTATGTTCATTTATCATAAAAAGTCTGGAATGAAAACTGGAAGACCAGATGTGTTCTGATCGCTTTCTCATGTCTGAAATAATCAGTTTTGATTTGTAAATTTCGCTAAGAAGTGTTTCATACAAATAACGAATCCAAGGCATGATTCTATTCTTTTGGATGTAAGTTTTTGAAATTTTAAATGCAATGCTTCATTGTATATAGGAAATATTGCGTCTTCGAGCTTTATGTATGCGATTTCAGTACATGTATAACATTTTGAAAGTTGATAGAATCGCAACATCTGCATTATGAAAGGAGATTCTATGATGCATTCAATCCAAAATATAACTGCGATCTGAAACAGCAGATAACTTGGCATTTTGGCTGTTGTAATATGTCTCAAAATGCGTATAATAGTGGTCTTTTTTGCTTACTACGATGAGATGAATTTATTGTAAAATTATAAAAAAATAGCTTCCTTTTCTGCATTCAAATTCAATTACACGGAAGTTTATTATGTGTTTTATATACAAGATTTATTTCTAATAATATAATACGATTGCCTATATTGTATTGTATACAATGTAATTCCCCAAAAAGTCCGGATTTGAATCTCGAAATTTATTTTTCATCCTTCAATAGTTTGGAATGGTTTTTTGTGTTATGAGCATTAGATGAACAATATTTCTCTTCATTAATAAGACAAATTACATAATAAATTGATGTTTTTGAACACTTTTTTATACACACTAATTTAATCAAATTTTAATTTGACACTTTTATTTCACAATTCGTTAAATGTTAAGAAGTATTCTCTTTATTCTCGTCATCGTGATTTATATTTTTGAAAGCATCCCTTCAAGTAATCGAACAGATTTTCTTCAAAAATACGAATTTTTTCAAATAATTTTTAAAAATTGAAATTAAATTCAAGTGTATGACTTGTTCATCTAGAATTCATGCGATATTGGAGAAAGGTTGTCGGTGATATGAAGATAGTGAGGGTAGAAGGAGGTCTCCCTGCCACACACACTAGTCGCCATTCTGATTGATGAGCACATCCGTTACATAAACTACCAGATAACAAGCTATTTCAGTGTGTATTTTCAATATTTTCAAAATATTTCATTTAAATTCTGTTTCTTTCTTGTGTGAACACACATTCTCAATAAAATGAATATACATTAAAAAAAATATGAATGAATAAAATTGTCATACGTTTTTTAATCCAATACAAAGGTTATTTATGTCATATTATTTACTTATTTCTAAAAGATTTTCGACCGGAAATAGAATAAGGTTCGCTTGAGGAGAAAAAAAGGACAATTCCAAGTAATTTAGAGTCAACACTAAATGTTTTAAAAGTAAACCCAGAGCCATATCCTCTACTAGATGAAAAATAACGATGACTGTATTTTTTACTTTTGTCTATGTGATCTAATTTGTATTTCAGAAGAGGTAGACTGGGGTTAGGCAGATGTTATATGAATGTTGTAGGAAAAGGTCTCGTAAGAGTTAACAAAAAAAAAAAAGAACAAGCCTTTGCCACTTTCCAAGTTAAAAATAAAAAATTGTACATAAAGTTTTGCAAGTAAGCTTGCACTATTGTGTCTGAAATAACATAATTTAGTATCAGTAGATGTAAAGATGACATTAACATAAATATAATGATGAAGATGTAACTATTTTAACTAATTCTCCAATTAAACTAATAAAACTCCAGGTAATAGACACTTCATTCACTGCTACAATAATCTCCTGTGAGGCCTTGCTACCATTCAAAATCAATCACCCTTTTAAAAACATTTACGTAATATTCCTAATAAAACAGCACGGGTTTAATTTTCTTGGCGCAATCATAAAAATAATGACGAAGAGTTGCAGACGTAGAGATTTGATAGAAGTTGGAATGATGATGTGAGGTTTATGAAGTGAACTGTTTGCTGGTTTTTATTTTTATCACAATCTAATAGGCAACTCGTTATTCTGTTTACTTTACTGCTTCTCACTTTATTTATTTATTCACTGGTATTATTGCGCACCACCCGCTGTGCCTGTGCACATGCGCCACATAAAATAGGCAGCAGGCTAACTGATTGAGACCTATGCCGATAATAAAGTCTTTATGATTTTATGATTATATATTCATGGTTTTATATATCTGGACAGGCAGCTTTAATTGTCAATCAAATATCTTCAATATCTTTGATCCTTTGAACCCACACTCAGCTGGTGGAACTATAAAATTTGGCGGAAGGTTATATCTGGGATTGAATAATGTAAGTCTATATGGCTCCAGAATACACCTGTTAGAGCTACATTAATTTTAAATGGCAATCCTAATTTAATCACCAAATTAGTTAATTTGCTTCATATATCTTTTGGTTTCTGATTTCTTGAAAGTAATGTTTCCTGATTGAAATAATTCAGTCTTTTTATACCTATCACAACGGACAATTCAAATTCCTACAAGAGAGTATTTCTATGAAATAAAATGTTCAAAATTTGTACAATAGTCATCCTAATGAATAAAAACTAATTTCGACAATAGAACAACTAATAACATGTTTTGAATTTATATTTGTGTTAATGCTATAACATTATGTTTTGTACATGCACATGCTAATGCATTAAACTTATCCAAGCGATGTTGTATTATGTAAATAACGTCAGTACTCTATTTTTGATAATTTTTTTGAAAATATTGTGCTATTAAGCAGGTGGTAAAAATTGCAATGACAAATACATAGATACAAAGTCAATTCCACGTAAATTAGATAAAGCAATATATACTGATAAACTAATAATAAATTGGAAATATGATTGTTTGTTGTTACAAAACACTCGAGTTAATAGATATATAAACAAACATATGTTATATTCATTATGAATTAAGCTACAGAGGTAACATATTATCTCTTGAATTAATTATTTCACCTGAAAACTGTCGGAGTTTGTTTCAAATAAATCAATTAAGAGTTTAGTCGCCGCTATTTTCTAATATCTAAAAGAAATGTATATCATTTCAGAAATACCTAAAAGAAATGTACTTCATTCAGAAATATCTAAAAGAATTGTATTTCATTTCAGAAATATCCAAAAGAAATTTTTTTAATTTCAGAAATATATATAAGATATGTATTTCATTTCAGAGATATGTATGTTGTTCTTGCATTCGATATTCAATATGTTTTATTTTCTATTTCCAGATATGCAGCAGTCAATTCATCTACCATCAACTTCTATAGCACCTACAACAGTCACGTTAAGAAAGAGAAGAAGGCCGTATTCCAAATTTCAAATTGCTGAATTAGAACGGGAATATAATGGTTCCACTTATGTCTCAAAATCTCGCCGGTGGGAACTTTCCCAACTAATCAACCTATCAGAGCGTCAAATTAAAATCTGGTTTCAGAATCGACGAATCAAGGCGAAGAAAATAATCAAAAGGGATGATATTAGTCCTCAAGTTTCTCACATGGGGATGCCTTCTTGAAACTAATAGCCGAAAGAGACGAACTTAAATTAATAAATTTGCCACTTTAGCCAGACAGATCGTGAAGACTAAAGTAAAAGGAAATTGTGTCTTTGAAACGTGTAAATGTTCACGTATTCCAGCTATCGTTATCTGAATTGGAAAATCGGGAATTTTTTTTATTCCATTTGGAGGTCATTGCATACTCCTGTTTAATTTCGCTGGTAATCAGAACCGGGTGTGAAGCTTGTCTGTACAGTATAAAAACAGGTAGTAACACATAAAGATACCAGTTAGAGTCACATCAAAAAACTTGAATAACAAGCTTGATTAAAAAAAGGCTATATTTGGGTAAATCACAACAACCAAATTCATATACCGATTGAGCAGCTAAATATTCATTCATTTATTACACTTTAAATTACAATTTACAATGCTTCCTGTCTCAGAACTCTCCGTGCTGAATAATACCAAAAATGTGACCTTGGCAAGAAGTCACATGTGTCAAACAGCAAATTGCTTCTATTTCATTAGTCTGTGCTATGTCAAAGATTCGGTGATTGAATTCTGAGAAATAAATCAAATATTACTGTAAATCTATAAATAATAATGGCTAAGAAAACAAAACAAGCAGGAGGCAATCAGATGTTCGTTGAAAAGACCACAACGATGGTACTCCAATGTAACGCTTTTTACCGGTTTACACGAAGTTTAAAATTCCTGTATTAAGTGGTTATTTCATTTTTCGGGAAATTGTTAAGATTTGCAACGTTTTTATATATAATTTTGTTATTCCATTAATTTTTAAAATCAGAGTATGAAATGTACAGAAGCGTTGTAGTGCCACACATATTTTTTTTTTCAAAGCCGACTTACTTACTCGAAAATCCGACTTAGTAATTCGAAAAATCTGACTTAGTAATTCGAAATCTGATTTGCTAAAGTCGGATTTTCGAGTTACTAAGTCGGATTTTCGAGTTACTAAGTCGGATTTTCGAGTTAATAAGTATGATTTTCGAGTTACTAAGTCGGATTTTCGAGTTACTAAGTCGGATTTTCGAGTTACTAAGTCGGATTTGAAAAAAAAAAAATATGTGTGGCACTGTTGTAAACGCTTCCGTAAAAATGGGTTAGTACTTCCAAAGATTTATGTATAAATAAATATTTGTTATTGTGTTCTGTAAGATATGTATTTGTTTGTAGCAGGGAATGTAAATATAATAAATATTCATAATTATGATAATTTATGTGAACATACCGATATAACCAAATTTCAAATTGATTTTGAAATAACTTTATTCATACTGTTAATTTCATATTGCTTAGTACATGTACTGTCTGTCTACAGTGAGGCTAGTGTGAGAGTCTGAGAATGTATTCGGTTCTGTGATTTTACATTAAAAAATAAACACACTTTTTTCTCAGAAAGAAATTCATGTGAAATTAGCCCACTTTCTGACTGAAAATTTCCCTTTTTCAACACAAAGACAATACCTTGTAGATGAATATGATAAATATTGTAGACAGAGAGTAGCATAACACGATTCCAGTGGAATTTTTGGCTCACTTTTGGTAAGCAGAAAACAAAACGACTAACTATGAATTATAACGTGAAATGCACTTCTCTTTGATGCAGCTATACCTTATATATGATCCTTAATGATCAATTTGCATATTTTACACTGCCATCTGTAAAGATCGACATTCTATTGGTGAAAGCTTGTTATCTGACTTCGGATGATCGGAGAAATGAAACTACTCAGTGATAGGAGCAGGGTTTCCCAACATGCTCTCTATGCATCAAAAGCAAGTTTGGTGTTACGTTTATGAGTGTCAACAATTAGAAAACTGATATATATTTTGGCAATAATTTATGTATAACAAACTATGAATTGGTATATCATTATTTTTCAAGAAATAAATTTATTATTTATAAAAGATATGTGTATGTTTATATAATGTAGATTATCAAAAAAATATTGTATATAAAGATTAATAAAAAGTCAAATAATGAAAAGCAATTTCTTCAGATTTTCCTGAAAATAAATACCAGCTATTCTACTCTAAATGTGTATTTGGAAATTATCTAATAATGAAGGTCAAGATAGATTCCAACGTGATTTCCTTTGGCCTGATCTTAGGCACTGACAACTCCAGTACCATGTGACTTGTATGGATTCAGAATTACATTTTCGTCCTCATTGGCATCACTCCCATAGAATTGTAATTTAATGATGTGATGTCATTTATCATAGAAACTAAACGAATACCAACCCATCCTCTTCTTTTTTATGTATCAATAATCACTCACTAGATAGACTAGATCCTATATCTTCCATGTACATCAATGTCAGTGTACATGATCTCTGGCAGAGTAGGCCTACTGCAATGTGTAATGTAGGTCATCGCACTTTCTCTGGCCACGTTATGATTATCTTGGATCTTTCATTGAAAGAAAAATGAGATTTCACCGTTGAATCTATGGTTTCTATGACAGATATTAACTTGTTGTTAATATTGAGGAATAAATCCTCATTATTAATTAAAGATAGAAGTCAGAGTATTTAATTCAAATTCATTGATTAATTTCGAACTACTTGAATATCTGTTTTTCAAAAAGGTTGTATCTATTTTGTCAGAGGAAATTATTGTATAGGAAGGGAGATAAATCTTGAATTTTGAAGCGTAGAACCGAATTTGTGGTTATTGTTTCTAAGAGAATTTTACATTCGAATCACTTGTCGAATTCATGTCCTTGTAAAAGCAAATATTAAACTATAGGTGTAATGATGTACATCCTAACAACTAGAACTAAATCTGATTATAATTGATGGTAGATTAATATGATAGTGATAACGGCCTGTATTTAACAAATGTTATCAGTGTTTCAGGCAAATGAAAGTTAACTAGTGGACGTGATGAACTGAATTTCCCCGAGAAAGAAAAGAAGAATGTACTTGTAATGGAGCCTATTGTTTCTGAACTTCGTCGTCCAGTTGAAAATGCTTCGCATGCTTAAAGGAACATTGTTATTTCTGTGATGATACTTTTCATTCTAATATACAAATTAAAAGTAATGATTTCATAGATATTTGTAAGCCCAGAAGCTAGACTTGATAAACTACTGCTTGCAGTTAAGGGGGGGTAACCATAACATTAATGTGGCCTGTATCCTTTAAGATTCGTGTACGGACGGGCTTCCATATAGATACTTTTCAGACACAAACAGACCGCGAACAACTCTTTAAAAGCAAAACACAATGTTCGGGGCAATATTTATTTTGTTACATTCAGTAAAAAAACATATAGCTGAAGATATTGCATCTGGAATAAACGCTCGGACCAGGCCAAACCAACCAGTCTACCGACAGAGTTTGACTGCAACAGGCGTATTCAGGGTCTGTATCCCCTTCCCAAATCAATATATGGTTTAATATGGTATTTTCGATAGATTTCCGCAATTCCACTTAAATTGGGACCTGAAACCATTGATCGAAGGTCATTGAAATGCCATTGAAATGCATTACAAGATTAAAGACTAGATTACAGTTATAAACGATCTAGATTTAACTCCCTTGCAATTATAATTTACCAGACTACAATACTTTAACATTATCTCCCTTGCACTGCAGACTCGGCGAGAGAGATGTAAGCATAGGGCTTAGATAACAACCTCTCGTCTCTATTACAGTCTCAGTCTTACATTTAATGGGCATGGGTAAATGGAAAGAACAAACTTATCTGACTAAATCAGATGAAGCATGAAAGAAAAAGCTTGAAAAGATTTCAATTTACAGTATCATTCTATGAAGACCCAATGACATTAATAAATACATCAATATAGCTAACAACAAAAAACACTTTTCTAAAGTTTGATTTGATGAAATGTAAATACCAGTCACAGGTGTGATGAAATTCAAATGAGAATTTTAGACATACAAATCACAGTCAAAAACAATTTCTACATAGGACACTTTTCTGTGTAATTGATTAATCTGGCATGCAACTTGCAAATTGCAACAATACTAACCTGACAAAAATAGCGTTGAGGGACTGGGGACATGAAAAGTCTGAAAACGAACGCCTGATATCCATGACTTACACTTAATCAAACAGATTACAGCCAAAATGAAAGGTTATCTATCATATGTACAGAAATAATTGATGATACTTGCTTCAAGAAACATAGTGCAAACTGCACAAACCTTATTTCTATTCTAGCTTTCTTAAAGGAATACAGTTGTCGAATTATTCATTTCACCAGCTCAAAGGTTTACTACAGAGTGAAGTATAGATGGAATTAAGTTTTATCAATTGGCAACACAAATAATCAAATAACTATTTCCCTTTAAATGCAGTTATTTCTTTTCTTTTTCATGAATTTTTAAACATAAAATACATTAAAATAATGGTTATAATATATATTTATATGTACATGTATAAACAATGATAGAAATTATGAAATTAACTGTTATTTTAATAGAGACCATTTTATCTGTTCCTTAGCTGACTGTAAAACCTGCAAATATAAAAAAAAAGAAACTTAATTCAAGATATTTCAAATCAGTTAAGATACTATCAGTAATGTATCAATATGATTAAAATATAGATCTGCAATTTTCCCTTCATGTTTTTTCTGTGATGGGACTACATTTAACGTCAATGATCTGAAGAAATTGTTTTGCAATACCACGTTTTAGATCTCTGTAATATTCAACCAATTAAATATTCTGTTCAATTAATAACTCACTTTAAAGATATTATATAAATTATGACAAATTTTGGACATTATATTCACGTATCAGCCAAATTGAATCCAGAACAAAGCTCATAAGTCAAACAAATAAAGGTAACATGGTGTCACTGCAGTAAAAATTGCCATCTTGACACCTTGAAAGCTGCCTTCTCCAATCCCACTAACTCAAAACTAATCATATTTTACATTATAAAAATCAGAATTGATTTAGCTATTTAATGATACTTTCAGATAAAGTTTACTATCACACATTTCTCAGAAAGGGCGGTTTTTTGCTGTTGACTGGGTGTTTAGCGACTTCACATGAGCTATTCATTAATTCCTATGATGTCACCATCTTATCGATGGATGACGAAATTTGCGATATAAACCTTGCATTTACTGTCTCAAAATGAAGTCTATTGGGTCCAACTGACAATGATTTGGAGGAGAATTTTATCAGATCATGATTGTATCAGCCTCAGAAAAACATGAGAAGGACCATCTTGATTTACTTTTTAACCACATTGATAATTTATTATATTCTCATTTTATTTTTTCTTTGATTCCATAGATACTACATGCCTCTGTCGTCCAACACAAGAGGCACTGATTCATATAAATACATGCAATAATTTTCAAAACTCTGTAATACTTATGTTCAAATTACTTCAAAATATTACCTGGATGATGGCTCACAAAATGATAATTTTGAAAAAAAGGGGATAAAAAAAGGAAACTTATTAAAATATTTTGTAATAATATATCTATGGTAAAGAACTTAGAAGAACCATTGTTTATCTTAATTTCCCCATCAAATTCATTATATTTTATATAATAATGAGATATTTTGATATGACAGTCTATGTCATATATCAATGATCTTATTTGTTATCTCATAATCAATATACAATCTTAAACACTTTGATTTTTCAACATCATATCCAAACTGAAAAGAAAACTTTCTCTTTTTCTAAAGGGTTAGATGAGAGGTTAACAGAGCTGCCACCTTAAGCTACATATAAGAGATCTAATGTTCCATAGCCAACTGAGAGAGTAATCCATCCCATTGACTATTGATTTTCTGCCCAATGAAACTCACCTCTAATTTACGTGATAATTGCTTGAAAAATCAAATAGTACAAAATTGAATGTGTGGATATGTGAAATGTAAAGTACAAGTGAGCTGTATCCAGCCTGGCTTGATATTCATTAAGTGACTCAAAGTATCAAGCTCAAGTATAATATTATCCATAAAATCATGTCAAATTACCCCATTCCTACATAAATTATAGAGGTAAAATTGTTCCCTGGTGCCATTTTCAGCACTGTTAAAATTGTTGTAGACATTACAATTCCATTAATATTGAATCTGTTGTCTGATATCTAGAGTAAATTTCTAAAATATTAGATAGAATATAATGTTTCTGATGATGTGCTTATGTATAATGTGATTGTAGAACATGATGCAAATATAATACTATAAAAAAGATAAAAGTGCAATGGAAATTATTATACTGTGCAAATATAAGGTATACATTGCAACATATTTCTATTTATATTACTCACCTGGGCAACTGTTTGTTCACCTAAGGGAATGTCATCATTTCTGATAGCTACTTTATGTACTATTGCTATTGAATCAGCTTCTAAGATAATACTGGAATAAAAAAAACATGAGTAAGAGCATTTCAGACTTTATCTTAAATATAGACAAGGCTCATCAGGAGTATAGGTTGTTGATCTTGTTAACGATAGACAGAGCTAAAATTGCTCTCCTAGAAAACTGAAAAGCTTTCTTAATCGGAAGCAATTATTGATAAGCAACAGAATTTGATACAATATCTAAAATGATTTCTTACTTACCCTCCATCACATATTTCATCAACAGCTAAATAAACAGCATCTAAATTCTCTAATAAAGCTCTTTTTTCAACATTCTTTCTTAATATTTGACTGATTGAATCATACATTGCATTTAAAACACTGCCTAATATCAACTGAAAATAAACAATAAAACCTGTTCAGTATTTATTTTTTGTTACAATAAAGTACTTTGATCATACCCTCCATTTCACATCCAGCTGTTTAGATGATGCATTTTATTCTAAACATATTAATAATAGATATTGCAAATAAACATTCAAAATCAAATGTGAAATAGGCTAAACAAAAATGGTAATCTTTGACTAGTTTTTACTTATTTCTTATAATTCTTACTTATAAATCTATCTAAATTAGAGTCTTAATCAATAGTATAAGCATTACATTTGTTTCAAATTTAATAAATAAATTTAATACCACCATACCTCATTTTCTTGTGTTGATCCAATAACATAGAAAAATAAATCAACATTACTTTTATAAACACATGTTAAACCTTCAAACATAATGATTTCAGCTGAAATTAACAAAAATAATGCATGAAACTTGCTGTGGGATGATTTATAATTCAGTATAATAATTCTCTAATGTCTCTGAACTTGGGTAAAAGAAAAAAAGATTTAAATAACAAGGTGGAAAACTTGAAATTTACTATAAAATTTCAAAAAGGTCTTTTTTTTACTATTGCCCTAATCTCAATTTAAATGTCATCAAACTTTAACACGAGTGGAATAATCTGTTAGGCTAGTTAGTGCCATCCTTCTCAAGGTTAGAGAAATCTTTGTTTTGGTTTAAGTGTTCATAGATCAAAGTTCATAGTGCCATTCTCAATATGTCAGAAACATTCTTTGGTGTTTGGGATGATAATTTTTGAAGATAAAGACCATTAGGAAAGATATAAACTTCACAAACTGTACATATTGTGACAAACTGTAACAATGTTTATATACATACCATTAGCTCTGTGTGTTTTATTGAAGAGATTTTTCTCAAAATTTTTCTGTTCCTTTGCTGTTGGAAACGTATCATCATAGTACTAAAATACACACCAAATTAAGGTAACTAATCAAAGCTCAAAAAGATCCATATCAATGCATTTCTAATTTATGTGGCAATAAGTGACCTAGTTAAACAAGTTTTCCTTAATATGCCTTAAAGCTTATATATACATATATTCTACATTAGTTTTTAGAAGTAAAAATTCCAATTGGAAATTTGACTGCAAGTAACATTTATATTCAAGGAAATGACATGAAATGAGTTTTACATCTTACATTTCTGTGTACCTGATTGGGCTAATGAACATTTCGAACCTTAAATAGAAACCAATAAGGCAGGGTTTAAATGATGTAAATTACATAACAAAGAAAGAAGTGGGGGTGTCCAAGTTTAGATTTGTCATGGATCCCATTGGAAAGTTTGCAATCTGATAATCCAATGGAGTTAAATGGAGAGCCTATTGGCTGTAGACTGTGTTAGGTCCGGGTTGGTGCCAAGTCGGTTGATTATTAAGTAGTCGAGATTTCGACTGGAGTGTCTTGGTAAATGGAAGTGAGAGGCGACAGGTGTGTATAACTTGGGATAGATAGGTTCACTTTCCAGCTTCTCTTAACCCAGACAGCCTGGTAAAATCTTAAACCCCCCTACCTTGGAACAAACCAATCCCAGTACTGATCAACCCCAGTAAAAATCCACCCCGGTAAACCCTGAAACTTACGAACCCCGGCAAAACACAAACCCCGGTAACCTTCCATCAGGGTCCATGAACAGTATAAATAGAACACCGCAAGGTGAATCTAATCAGTCTGAAGAGTTCAAACACGAACGAAACTAGTCACTGATAATCAGGGATAACTGGTCGCACAGCCAATCTTTATCTCTTATATGATGTAAATTACACTTAAATACCTTTGCTAATAATCTGTTACCATCATTATCTAATATAGCTAGAGCTTTGATGCTGTATAAAGAAGGTTCCTACAAGAAAAATATCAGAGGTTACAATACAGGATCTTAAGAAAACAGGTGTAGGACATAGAGACATTTGGCATCAATATTGAGCAAAATATAACCAATAGTATTTTGAAGATATTTCTAAATGACTAGTTATTAAAGTTCTAATGACACAATTGCTGGACTGGTACAAATATGGAATAGTTGCTGTAGTGTGTAGCCAGTGAAGAGTGTAGGGTAGGTAGTGCTACTTTTTATTAACACCTTGTCAATTTGTTATGTTTTCAATGATCCTGCTTCAGGATCTCAGGCTACACCAAACCACAGATATCTAGTTATTAATTTGGAGTCAAATTGTCACTTATTGTATTTCATAAAACGACAAATTCGAAAGATTTAGTGAAAATTGTACAAACCAATATTCCACCGTCCATGTTGGCTTCTTCGACGTGGATGTACACTAGCCGTTTTTATCAAGACGTTTCTATTTCTTTAGCAATAATCTACAACAAATTATGTCCTGGTGATCGAGAATATATAATATGTCAAACAAAAGAAAACGAAACTTTTTGAGGGAAGAATAGTTTGACTGAATTATTTTTTTATTCAAACGACGTGTAGACATTAGTTTTTGCTGAATCACATTTTGAAAAAATTGAAATTAATACTGATTTGATGATTAAATTTGGGGTATCCGATATTTTCGTTTCGTAATGAAATATTTATTCATAGTAGTTTCGCAGCATGTTTTCATGCTCAAGGTGTTTATAATATGATAGCTTTCCGACAATAGTATAATGGCTACTTTAACGCTCTTGTTATTTCTGAGTTTCTTTTACGGATTGTTGATCAAAAGATGATTATATTAATTATTGTTCCACGAAACGTCGGCTTCCACTTACATGACTTGGAATTAAAATGATATTTGGTCATCTACTATGGTACTACTTCATTCCCCGTAATCAATAATTAATAGGCGCGTTGGTTCACACTATCCAAATATCTTCATATGAAACGGCGAATTTAACCAAACAAGTTTTTAATCACGAGTTTCATGCGTTTGTTCATATTTACAAAACAATCATGTAGTTGCATGTTGATGTTGGTTGGGCGAATTATGTAGCATCGTGAATTAATTTCTATCATGCTTGCCTATTTGTAAGATGTATTCAAACTTATGCTTAATACATGAAACAATCAATTAATAGATATATTAGAAAAATTATTTTTGCAAGAAAATTTGATGATTTTGGTTACCGGTACCGATATATATACCATTTCAACGACATCCCCAGTGCTGTTAGATCCTTTGTGAAACTGTTTGCTGACGATACCAAACTATTTGGCCCTAGTCTGACAATACACGATAGAGAGCAATTACAAGATGATTTAGACAATTTGGTTGAATGGACAGAAACCTGGCAAATGCAATTTAACATCGACAAATGCAAATCAATCCATTTTGGATATAATAATTCAAGACACCAATACCACACGAAAAACAATACCATATTTGAACCACTACAACAAGACAGCACAGAAAAGGACCTTGGTATCACAACAGACAACACTCTTAAATTCAGTGAAAGCTAACAGGTTAATAGGACTGACAAGAAGAACCTTCATTAACATGGACAAAGATATGTTTTTGCCCCTGTATAAAAGCCTAATCAGACCACATCTGGAATATGATGCAACAGTTTGGTGCCCAATGTTAAAAAAAGACAGCCTATCGGTTGAAAATGTCCAACGAAGAGCGACAAAGATACTTCCCCACTTAAGAGATCTTACCTACCCTGAAAGACTCAAAGCTCTAGGTTTACCCACTCTTAAATACAGAAGAAAACGCGCTGACGTTATCCAGATATACAGATTTTTAAACAACATAGATACACTGGTAGACAAAAACATGTTCTTGATATCAACCTACAGTAACACCAGAGGCCATAATCTTAAACTGAACAAGCCACACACAAGATTGGATGTCAGAAAAAAATACTTTTCAGTTCGTGCCATTGACAGTTGGAACTCATTACCTATCTATGTGGTCAATTCAAAATCTTTAAACAACTTTAAATCTAATCTAAATTTGGCATGGAAAAACGACCCTGAAAAATTTCATCTATAGACTATAACCTGTGAAACGAACACAATTAATTACATGTATAAAAATGCGCACTCCATATGACATTCGTAACTCACGATAGTACGTGAATTTTTTAGACTCTTATATATGGTGTTCAAGAAGTCTACAAGCTTAATAAAAGACCGGTTTACAGTAAGATACAGTAAGATTTCATATATATTTCTCATTTTTACTTTAAATAAATTTAATTTATACCGCACGTACACTTTTTCCTGAATAACATCAATGGTTCAACCTATAATACACAAGTATAACTTATAGATGAAATTTATTCAAAAACATATCATAACACTTTTACTGCTAGGATTAACCTGTTTCAAACTTAAAACAGTGCGAAGTAAAAAAATATTTCGTCAAGGGAGGTAACTCTATATTCGATCATTAGATCGGCAGGTCGGTGAAATACACCCATCATAATAATGTCTCTTAAAAAATTCAAAGAAATGTATATTTAAGACAATAACTTAAATGTTATTTTATAAATTGACGTAAAAATATTAAATCATTAATGAACAAATTTAAATAGTTTAAATATTTTTACCTTTAAGAAAAGAGATTTTTGCTGCGGGTTACAACCGGCGTCAGAGAAGAAAATGGCGTTACAGAAAAAGAAAGACGGGCACCCAAACAACAAATTCTTTGAATCTTCCGAAACCATAGCACAATTCGACTCCGTTCGAACATGGCTTCAAAAGAACTGTCGAAAGGTATTTATACAATTCGCATATATATGCAATTTCTTCCTTGAATGGGTTCCAAATGGCGGCTTTTATCCCGTTTTTCTTTGTTTTGACTTTGTTGTTCTTAACAAACTTTCCATGGCTTGGTAGGTCCAGTTTTTTCATTCATTTCTATCATTTCTGGCCAAAAGATGTCAGTGCGAATCATATTATTGAGGAAATGTTGATATTAAATGAAGATCAGTCAGTTATATCTGTGTGCATTGCTTAAAGGTGCTGTCTCAGATCTAAGAACAATGATTAATACTATAATGGCTAGGTCTGTTGGTGGAAATTTGTTAAGACTAAGATGGTTAATTTTTACATGTAACCAATATCTTAGTTCTTTGTTTGATACCTTGACAACTATAGCAACTTTTCTTGAAGTTTGTAATGCAGCGATCTGATAGGGACTGCACATTGGCGAATGCTTCCAATCATAGTCCAAAACAGAGAGTCTGTAAAGAACATGCAACAATGTTTACAGTATTTCTATTGAGTGCTGTGATTGGGTCACTTGTGTGCATTCGGTGGTGTACAACCATTCAAATGGCTGCATTGTGTTATATAAGAAAAGTGGCTATTACAGTCAAGTTATATGATGAATATCGTCACCGCTGGACATTGTGAAGATGAATTGAATAATGGTAATGTCTTTCTTGCAGTATATCCAAGCAGATCCACCAACAAACAAGTCCCTGGCCAGTCTTGCTGTTTTACTTCTCCAATTTCAAGAAGAAACATTTGGGAAACATGTTACAAATCCACCACTTACGAAACTACCAGTAAGTTTTGTTATTTTTTACTTGTTTAGTAAGATTGTCCAATTACTGTAGTGTAAATATGCAGACTGTCAAAGTCACTTTTTCTTCTAATGTTTAAGATGACAACCTAAAAAGTGGGATAAGGCATCCCTTTGTATATTTGTCACCATAGTGATATATTTTTTTTAGATGAAATGTTTTATGGACTTTAAACCAAGTGGTGGATTGTGCAATATATTTCAAGCTGTTTATAAATTCAAGAGCGACCAAGGATGGTATGTGTTTCATATTTTATATACTCATATAAACATAATACTAAAATATTTTAACAGAACCTGAAACATGATGTTCCTCAGTGTTTCAATCTAAAGTATCAACATGTTTCAGTTTGTGTTTTAATATTTCTGTATCGCTCTACACAAGTCTTAGTTAACTATAAAATATTTTGTTATTGTAACAAAATACTGATTACGTATCGTGTGCTTCTTTATCATGTAGTTATTTATACTTAACGTTTTGTTCTGACAACTTTATTTCAGGAGAAGATTCGATCTTCAATCACCATCCAGAATGGACAGGAATGTAGAGATGTTTATGAATATTGAGAAAGCTTTAATACAAAATAAATGTCTGACATTACCTGCCATTTATATCAGACCTGATGTTGATAGAATATTAGTACCAAAATTAAAAGATATTATAAAACGACATCAAGGCACTATAACAGATAGTTCTGATAATGCTACTCATATTGTTTATACCTTACCAACTCAAGCACCTCCTGATGGTGAGTTTGTTTTAAGATTTGGTGACTTTGCATGCAAACATTGGAAAATGGTTCCAGACTTCCCTGCTCTGAATTTGTATGCTGAAATTTTCGGGGGTTGATTTAGGTCTTGAATATATGTAAATATTCTCCAGAAGTACTAGGAAAAGTACAAAAGTTACACAATTCCTTTTATATCTCAAACTAGGAAATTCAGTTTCTTTTTCTATTTAAGTCTTCTCTATATGTCTTTACTATAAATGGCATGGATTTGAAGGCTCAAATTTCGACTGTGACCGCTATTACTTCAATAAGCTTAACTTAGAATTTCCATTTCTGAGACTATGGTAGCATTCTCCAAACAAATGGCAAACCTTTTCTTTTCAAAAGATAGATTTTGTTAACAACTTAAGTGTTGAGCTTTAAGAAAAGAAATGAATTTGAAAAAAGACAGTTACAAATAGTTTGAATTTTTATCTTTTATCTGTTTTTGCTTTTTTGTAGAGGATTATTTCAGACCAGTATTGAAAAGAGATAAATATACTATGGTACATTGGTGGTATACTCCAGATAGGTAGGTTTCTATTTGTAATTTAATGTTTCAATTTATGTAGAATAAATAGTTTATCACTGGGAAGCTATGTACATTTTGAGGTTTCCATGATTTTCTATCTAATAACAACTACTGGTATTTAGTTGCCTGAGTGTTTCTCAAAATTATCTAAAATAATCTAAAAATTACTATAATTGTCATTTCAGTTACAATATGTGGGTTAGTGATCCCCCAATAGATTATGATCCAGAAACTCCTAGTTCTCATCAAGGTCCTTGGGAGGTAAGTGACTATTATGTATTTAGGAGGTCAAGTCATATCTTTTATCCTATAATTTCCTTTTACCACACAGTATGTCATTCAAATTTATCTATCATAGAAAGTACAGCATGTATTGATTCTAATCATGCATGTTGTATTTCATCACTTTTGGGTTGAAGAATGTTTGTATATTATTCAGGTATTTCCTAGTTGGTTATTATATCTAGAGGAATATAATGACTGTATGTTTGTATATTATTCAGGTATCTGCTAGGTGGTTATTATATCTAGAGGAATATAATGACTGTATGTTTGTATATTATTCAGGTATCTGCTAGGTGGTTATTAGATCTAGAGGAATATAATGACTGTATGTTTGTATATTATTCAGGTATCTGCTAGGTGGTTATTAGACCTAGAGGAATATAATGACTATATGTTTGTGTATTATTCAGGTATCTGCTAGGTGGTTATTAAATCTAGAGGAATATAATGACTGTATGTTTGTATATTATTCAGGTATCTGCTAGGTGGTTATTATGTCTAGAGGAATATAATGACTGTATGTTTGTATATTATTCAGGTATCTGCTAGGTGGTTATTAGATCTAGAGGAATATAATGACTGTATGTTTGTATATTATTCAGGTATCTGCTAGGTGGTTATTAGATCTAGAGGAATATAATGACTGTATGTTTGTATATTATTCAGGTATCTGCTAGGTGGTTATTAGATCTAGAGGAATATAATGACTGTATGTTTGTATATTATTCAGGTATCTGCTAGGTGGTTATTAGATCTAGAGGAATATAATGAATATATGAATGAAGAAGATTATTTAGTTGAAGATGAATTTAATGTAAGTAATGATGTTTTTATGTATTATGATATTTAAAATGCATAGGAAATATATTAATTTGCAACCATTTGGGTCCTGTGCTGCCTTTGTGCTATTCACAAGGTTTTTTAAAGCACAACTTATATGTTACTCGATAAGCATTGTCAGGAAAAGTGTTCAATTTCCGTGTTGCAGATAAGTAGAAGTTTCATTTCAAACTTGATAAAAATTATATTGCATATATAAAGCTTGTTACTGGTACAGATATTTAGTATCATGTTAGGATAGATGTTTAGTTTTCTTTGTTAAGTTATCTCCAGTCTGTTATGAATTTTCATATTGCAGGGTGATGTACCTGGTAAATCAAAAGATAAAGTGAAGAAATCAAACAAACTGAAACTTACTGTTGATGATGTAAGTTTATGATATTATACATACTGATTATTAAAGAACAGAGATCTGTATTGAATGTTCTTTGGTCTATATAATATTTGATTTGTATATGTTAACTATTTTAGTTATCAACTGATGTAGAAAGAAGTAAAAAAGACAAGAAATCAAAAAGAAAAAGATCACCTTCACCTGTCCCAGATAAAAAGAAACGTAAAAGGTATACTTCTATTCTTGAAGTTATTGAAAGTGTCAAACATAGAGCTATGTAATCCATGAAGCCTACATAAGAGAGAATTAAGGAGATACCACCCTTTAAAGATACCAAATCTGCTTAATTTGTCGTTGCTTGAAGCTGCATAATGATTAGAACACACACAAATCAATGCATATCATTTGGTCAGGTTTTATCGGCATGGTTATGTTTATAATTGTTGTATTCTGTCAACAGTACAAGGACACCAGGTGGATCCAGTTCAACAAAGAAGAAATCAATGAAGGAAGAAGAAGAGGAAGAAGATTTAACTAAAGATATGGATGAACCATCACCTGAACCTAATATACAGGAAGTCAACTTACCTAAACAAACTTCCAGTTCACGTAGTCAGAAAGATAGTGAGTTACAACCTATTAAAGGTGCCACACTGATGGATTTGGATGAGGAAACCAGTGAAAAGGTAATATAGCAAATGTTATCGGTCATTAAATCTTTAATATTTATTACTCATTTACGAAATGTTTTGTAGGTTTTAGGTGAGGGAAACCAGTCCAAAATCAAAAGAAACTAAGTTGACTAAGAGCACTGATGTGAACATTGAGAATGTCTCTACACGTCACGTGAAAACCAAGAGGTTGCTTAGCAGCATGACCACGCTACAGCTTAGATTAATTTCTTGTGGTTAGTCAAGGGCAATAATTTGGCTAGTACTGATCGATAATATAATTCATTGAATCAATTCACATTTGATGATTACAGACAACTGATCTTCAACTTTAATCTTCAATTTAAGTTCAAATTGTTTGTCATCAATGCCCCCCAAAGACACTCAGTGTCTGAAGATTGCACAGTGTGATGATTGTATATTTCTGTATGCTAATTTCATTGAACCAGGTTGATGGTGAGAAGGGTGAAGCTACACCAGCTAGTGAAGAAGGTAGTAAGAAGGAGAAAGATGACCAGGATGATAATGTTACAGAACAGACACATCACATTATTGTACCTAGTTATTCAGCATGGTTTGATTATAATTCTATACATGCTATAGAAAAACGAGCTTTACCAGAATTCTTCAATGGTAAAAATAAATCAAAAACACCAGAAATGTAAGTTAAATCAACCCTAACCCTGCTTTCTGGATATTTTTGTGTTTGTATTGATCATAAATTTTACTCTTATCAGTTACAGTTTAATCAATGTGAAAGGGATTGTCAAATATTGTAATGCTTCAAAAAAGATGTAAATATTGTTTGTTTTCGAAGAGGATTTCGGGCTTCCTATGCTAATTAATGTAGTGTCTTCTCGCATGAAAGGTTACAGTCTGGTTATAGAAATAAAACTTATGGTTTGCACTTTTCTTTTTCAGTATGTTGGCATATCGTAACTTTATGATAGATACCTATAGATTGAATCCAACTGAGTATCTAACTAGTACAGCTTGTAGAAGAAATCTGGCTGGTGATGTATGTGCTATAATGAGGTAAGATAATGTCAAATCTATATTAAGGGGAATTGTGTGAAATGGGTTTCTATCAATGTTGATTGTGAATTTTGTTGCTGTAATATGCATTTTTCTCTTTTTTTAGGGTACATGCTTTCTTAGAACAATGGGGACTGATCAACTATCAAGTAGATGCTGATTCTAGACCAACCTGTATGGGACCTCCCCCAACATCTCATTTCCATATTATTGGTGATACACCTTCAGGATTGGTTCCGATTAACCCACCTAGATTGAATCAGGTAATTTATACAATATTTAGAAGAATTCTCAAAATTGTAGATTTTATGTTTGTGTCTATACAGTGTAGAGGACCTCTGATGCAGCCTAGTCTTAGCTATAGTTTTTTCTCTTGTGCTGTATTTGTAAATGTGTTAAAATCTTTAGTTTTCATACTACTAATATGGGCATAAGAACCATATTCCAGAATTTATTAAAAGCTCATACTGTTCATCATTGTAACTATGTATATTTCAGCCATCTGCAGCACAACAAATTGTAGATTTAGATAAGAACAAAGAGAAAGATGATGGAAAGGAACTCACCAGTTTTGGTTTGAAGTCTGACATGTATGCTAAAAAGGCACTGAAGGTAGGTTCTTTCTCTATCCAACAATAATATTCCATTGAGCCACATTTCCTTTCATTTCAGTCTAACAATGCTATATTAGTGTTATTGAAATGAACTTATTTGATGTTGTTACGTGTGTTTTTCTACAGAGGTTACAAGAACAGAACCCTAATTTACGATGTAGAGAATGGACAGATCAAGAAACACTGTTATTATTAGAAGCGTTAGAAATGTATAAAGATGATTGGAATAAAGTATGTGAACATGTTGGAAGTAGAACACAAGATGAATGTATTCTACATTTCTTGCGTTTACCAATAGAGGATCCTTATTTAGAGGAAGATTTTGGTCATCTTGGTAAGTATCATCTTCCGGAGGCGGTGTACTGGAATAGTAAGCATTATGAAAGGACGCTCCAACTAACTTGTTTCTTGCGTTTCAAAATCCATTAAAGTTTGTTTAAGCTTGGATCCTTTTGTTCTAAAACTTTAAAATCTAAAGACAAGTTTTAATAATGTATATAGGAATCTTTATATCTTTAAGGAAATAATCATGGAATTAATTTTGTTTTTGATTTTTTTTCAGGACCTTTGGCTTATCAGCCCATACCTTTCTCACAGAGTGGTAATCCTATCATGTCAACTGTAGCTTTCCTAGCCTCTATAGTTGATCCAAGAGTAGCTAGTGCAGCTGCCAGATCTGCATTGGGTAGGTTCTATTTTAAATTTTTAAAATAAGTCAAGTTCATAGTTCTCTGATTCTGTTCATGTTTTTGTATAATATGGATTATATGCTTATATTTATATTATGATAAACTTGTGTAAAACATTCCTTCAATTTATCATATGGACTTTGTTTTCATTTATCCTTATTATTCCTTTCAGATGAATTTTCCAAAATGAAGGATGAAGTACCCCCTACATTAGTTGAGGCTCACAGTAAAATGGTATCTGAAGCCAGTAAAGAAAATAAAGTAATTGATATAAAGACAGCTTTAGAGAAAAGTGGTATTGCTGGAACTGAACCTGAACCAAAAGAAGGTGTGTTTCTGTTTAGAAAGGGATTATTGACCAAGAAGTAATATCGGTCCATATTTTTGTAGTTCTCTCCCTTGTACAGTCAAGCATGAAATCCATTCTGTCTAATTGAACAGGAATATTCCATATACGAGAATACAATGCCTCAGATTTTCAAAAAATTCTTTATGATATTATAATGATTTGAGGATAAAAAAAAAACAAGTTCCTTCCAAGGTCGATCTGTTCTCTTGACTTATAATGTACTATAAAGGTTCTTAGTAGCAAATGTTAACTTTGTATTCATGACACTAAACATTGTTTTCTAGAATCTAAAGAAGGTGAGAAGGATGTAAAGAGTGAACCAACAGGAGATGAGAAGAAATCTGAGGTTAAAGAAGAGAAGAAGGACGAGGAAGAAAAGGTTGGTCTTTTTAGAGCTTAGATACTTAGAGCCAGCACAAACTTACAATGATATTAAACAAAAAGATGATGTTTGATGTTTTTAAGAATAGGCAGAATTAGTCTTTAGCAGTACAATAATTTAAATGAGATATATTTTGTAAAAAAACTAACACGTCTTTAAGCAGATCATTTTGTGAGTGACTTGACCAGTGTCAAAAAATGTATGTTTGAGTTTGTAAACTTTTGATTGCAGAAAGAAGAATCTATGGAAACTGATGAAAAGGAGAAGACTGAAGAAGAAAAGAAAGATGCTGAGAAAGATGATAAAACTGATGAGGTGAGTCTATATTTATGCTTAGATTGCTCTCTGATTAGTGAGCCAATGTGGAATCTTGAGAATCAGTATTTCACATAATCTTATACATACATTACTAATCTTTAGAGGTACTCAGTTGAAATTTAGGTTATTTATTGAATCTTTGATGTGTTATAGCAGAAAGCTGACAAGGAAGGAGAAGCAAGTACTGAAAAGAAAGAGGAAAAACCCAAAACAAAAGAAGACGAAGAGAAATTAGCAGAATTTAAGGAGAAAGATGGAAATCTATCATCTGCTGCAGCTGCTGCTTTGGCTGCTGCTGCTGTTAAAGCTAAGGTATAGAAACTTAAACGTAATTTGCTATTTCCAAATCCTGATCATTTGTTTCATAGAGATGCTTTTAGTGATAATAAATATGTTAACTCTGATGTATTTGAATTACATCTAGTCCAATCCAGGTGTAGACTTAGTTTGTATCTTTGTTCCCCCCTCTTTTGCAGTTATTGATGTATTGTCAGTGTAAAAGAACACATCTGTTTATATGCTTACTTTCAACTTAATATGATCATTTGACTTGTGTTAATCAAAGGAACGTTTTGGCAAAATTGCTTTCAATACTTGACGTTTTTCTCTTTCAGCTATATTGTGCAACTCGTGCTCACTCTACAGGCTACAATTTTTTACAGATTCTTTTCATTTTTATTTTGTGTGTCAATGTCATTATGAAGATGATCCCTATTGATTTTCGTGATGATCGGATAATTTTTCACCGAAATATCGTGTCTGACTTGACGTTTTACTCTATTAGCTATATTGTGCAGCTCGTGCTCACTCTACAGGCTACAATTCTTTACAGATTCTTTTGATTTCTATTTTGTATGTCTATGTCGTTATGAAGATGATCCCTATTGATTTTCATGATGATCTATCGATTTTCATGATGATCGGATAATTTTTCACTGAAATATCGTGTCTGACCTGACATTTTACTCTATTAGCTATATTGTGCAGCTCGTGCTCACTCTACAGGCTACAATTCTTTACAGATTCTTTTGATTTTTATTTTGTATGTCAATGTCATTATGAAGATGAGCCCTATCGATTTTCGCGATGATCGGATAATATTTCACCGAAATATCGTACCTGACTTGACGTTTCACTCTATTAGCTATATTGTGCAACCCTGTAGTCACTAAAGACTGTTAATCATTTCTGACAGCTGCCAGTTGGCGTATGTTACCTTGCCTGGCAAGCTATCTTGTTTATAGGTTAGTGCTAGAAAGTGCATTGTTCAATTATTTGCACAAATTATAGATTGAGCATATTATGATATATTTTCAGCATCTGGCTGCAGTTGAAGAGAGAAAGATCAAGAGTTTGGTAGCTTTACTGGTGGAGACTCAGATGAAAAAATTAGAAATAAAACTACGTCATTTTGAAGAACTAGAGACTATCATGGATAGAGAGAGGGAAGCTGTAAGTTTTTATCCAAGATGTATTTCAGATAAATACCAGAGTAACAAGAAAATACAAGAAGTTTAATAGTACCATAAATTATATGATATGATTGTGAACGCCCACAATCAGTCAGTACACTACTTTGTCGAAAAACTGCAATTTTCATGATGAAAATACTTCCACTTGACCTTGCAATTTCATTTATCTGTCTTTTTACTTATTATTTTTTCAAATTTTAGCTTGAATATCAACGGCAACAATTACTGCAAGAAAGGCAGCAATTTCACTTAGAACAGATCAGAGCAGCTGAACACAGAGCTAGACAGATTGCCATGCAGCAACTGGCCACTGAACAACGTCAACAATCCTCACAATTTGGTGTTGCTAGTGAGTATATGTTTTAAAAAATATTTTTATCTTGAGTAAATCAGAGTTAATTATAGCGAAGATATACCAGATTTATGATAAATGAGGCATCACTGACAATATTGGAATATGTAACCTTTTATTTCTTTATTTCAGGTCCTCAACAACCTGGTGGATCAAACATGGTTAATGCTTCTCAAAATCCTAACTTAACCAATGTTGCTAATCAAAGCAGTTATCCCATGCATGGCTCTCCTATGCCACCACAAGGTCCAACTGCTCAAGCATCAAGTTCTCCTGCTCCCCCTCCTCAACCAACTGGCTCATCAACTCCTCAGCCACCTACAACCCAAACTTTTCAACCAGCTGGCCAACAAGCAGCCATGACTCCACAGCCAACACCATCACAGCAGCCATTTTCAACTGGACCTCCACCATCATCAACACCAAATCAGCAACCACCTTTCCCACAAGGACAAGGTTTCTCATCACAGCCTGGTGGACATGGAGGATCTTTCCCTCCACATTCATCAGGACCAATGCCTACAGGAGCTTCAGGTCAGGTTCCTCATCCACAGTTCCAACCAATGGCTGGTCCTGGACCTCATCACCCACATCAAATGGGTGGTCCAAGCACACTTCCTCCAATGCAGGGTCAGCAACACATGATGCCAGGTTCTCAACCGTTTCCATATCCTCCTAATCAGGGTATGCCACCTCAAGGCTATCCAGCTCAAGGCCAACCACAACAAGGCCCTGCTTATGCTTCTTTTCCCCCACAGCAAGGTGGTGCACCAAACCAGTTTCTGCCTTCAACAGGACCAGGCATGCCACCACAGTGCACTCCATTACCTGCTTCTGGTCGATCTGGTCCACCTGGTAAGAATGGTGTCTGAATGTTGTTATGATTCTTTTTTCATGTAGTTGCCATTCTGTCATCTCTTCTAAATCTCTAACTTTAAAAATCACCCTATTTTTTAACTCAACATTATTTAATCTTTATTTTGTTTTTGTCACTAGAGCATTGTTTGTTTTTAATTTGTTTGTGAGCATGTATGGTATGAATGCTAACAATCACCCCTCTAACTTCTATTACTCATGGTACTTGGAATGACTTGACTTATGTATGTCCATTGCTTTTGATGTTTTGGGTGAATATTTCAAAATTTAAGTCTGTCAATGTGTAACTTTGTGTGATATGGTTTCAGTTAAAACTGCTAAAACAGTTTTAGCCTGTGATTAATATTTTATTGGAAAGAAATTTCTAGAACCCTGTGTTGTGGATATGGGTACAACATTCAACAGTTTGTGGTATTGTTCTGACATCTGTGTTCGAATGTTAAATTTTTCTACAAATAATAAATAGATATTATTGTCTTGGCATATCAGCTTCAAAACTGTACTAATAGTTTGATATCGGAATAACTGGTGTTGGTGTATTCTTATAATGAGTAGAAAATCTAAAAATATCCTACAATTTGGCTGAAAATTGTCTCGTTTGCCCATGTTTTATCAATTTTTTCAATGCAAATTCATTGTAAGACTAACAGTATTTTTTATACGCCCACATTTAAGATGGGCGTATATTGTAATCACCCCGTCGGTCCGTCCGTCCGTTCACATTTGGCTCGTGCTCACACTACAGGCTACAGTTCTTTATGGATTCTTTTGATTTTTATTTTGTGTGTCAATGTCATTATGAAGATGATCCCTATTGATTTTCGTGATGATCGGATAATTTTTCACCGAAATATCGTGTTTGACTTGACGTTTTTCTCTTGCAGCTATATTGTGCAACTCGTGCTCACTCTACAGGCTACAATTTCTTACAGATTCTTTTGATTTTTATTTTGTGTGTCAATGTCATTATGAAGATGATCCCTATTGATTTTCGTGATGATCGGATAATTTTTCACCGAAATATCGTGTCTGACCTGACGTTTTACTCTATTAGCTATATTGTGCAACTCGTGCTCACTCTACAGGCTACAATTCTTTACAGATTCTTTTGATTTTTTTTTTTGTATGTCTATGTCGTTATGAAGATGATCCCTATCGATTTTCATGATGATCGGATAATTTTTCACCGAAATATCGTGTCTGACTTGACGTTTCACTCTATTAGCTATATTGTGCAACCCTGTAATCACTAAAGACTGTTTAATCATTTCTGACAGCTGCCAGTGGGCGTATGTTACCTTGCCTGGCAAGCTATCTTTTGAAGTTGATGTTCCAATTCACATAGAGGTTATCAATAACTTGCAAGACAGCAGTTTCTATATTAAAATATTTTAAGGGCTTTTAGTCCAATAAATAGTCAACTAGTTATTGTAGCTCAAGTGACATAGAAGTCATCTCTGTTCATAGACCCTTGTTGTCCTCAATAAAAACCACTGATAATGATGTCTAATGTTAATTGTGAAAATTGCTCTGGATAGTGATAATTGAGGCTTTTCATGACTGATAAATTAGATCATGACATTCTTTGTATAAAGTTTATTATAAAATTGTTTGATAACATAGGTGTTAATATTTTTCTTGGTATGTTTTTCAGGTGCAATGACTCCAGAAGGTGGAGAGATGATGAATCAAGGTGGTGCTCCTCCCCAACCTACCAACAAATAAATACAGAATCTCTGGTCGATAGTTGTATATATATATATTGCTTTTCATTTCTATCTCTATCATTCAATATATTATGTGCTGCATTTTATTGTCAAATTGTTGGATATTTCTGACTTTCATGTACATTGTATTTTTTTTTAGTTTAAATGACTATCTTGGAAAAACTTCTATTAATTTTGAAAAAAACGAAGGGATCGATAAAGTTACAGAACACACTATTAAACTGTAAAACTATGAATCTGGTAATATGTAATATGGTGTATGTAATTCTTGATTGATGCTAAACACACATAAGATGCTTTCCAAGACCATTGCCGAGATAAAGCTATATAAAGCTATTTGTACCGTACTAAATGTAGTTGATGTGTAATAGTCATTTATGTAAATTCACTCATAATCATTGATATAAAACGAATAAATCTATACAGTTTTTCTATTGGCCCACTTAAAATAAGTTATCACATTAGTAACTGCAGTTTCATCTCATTTAAAAGTAAGGTTGAACTCATTGTGCAATATTATTTTCCTAACCGATGTAATATGTTATCTTGCGATGCAATATTATATTAGTGTCCAAGGAACTGGATTCCGGTCGATGGCAACGGAGATGGATTGCATGCTCCTCCGACAGAATGCAATTTGGCAAGTGAATTATCCTATCGCGATGCTAGCTGTGTCTGAAAACCAGTGATTAGACATGTTCATTTGGGGAGGCAGGAAGGGTAAATGGGGGTGCTAATAAGACGACAATCCATGTGTCGCACCACGCTCGCTTGCGGCCACTGGGGGTGTGTGTGGAGGGATGTTTCCCCCTCAGAAGCTGAAATTTCTAGACTGAATTCGCGCGATTTGATGTGTACTTTTTTTGTAAATAACTTCATAGACTAGAGTCGCTAGACGATGAAATTAGACTTAATACTATTTGTTTCAATATTGTTTCGTAAACATGAAAATGGTAACTCACTGCGATGCGTTAATAACGCCACTGCTGAAAACACATCCTGGTTCCAACCTCAATGCACTACCGCCAAAACAGAATTTCACAAGAAAAATATATGTAGTAGGCCTGTTTCTGCGAAAACGCTTGTAGGGTTCGTTCCCGGCATATATATAGAGGTTATACTTTCGGATTTGTCAACCCCCCGTTTACCCCTTGTCAGTGATGCATGTCGAAGTGACGGTTATGGAAATAGTGCCGTGCAGTTCGAAAGGGACAATTATGGGCTATACACATAACCGATTCATCAGCAGTTGGAAATGGAAAACGAGCAGACCACTCCGTTGCTCGTTTTCACAAGACCAATTTAAGATAGATAAGTCAAGGAAATACGGGCGGACAATTGACGCAAAAAATGAAATGAAATGAATGGAGTTTTACGTCCTACTTTCATGTACCATGGGGGTTAATGAAGAAGGGCAACGCCATGCCAGGATTGACGCAAAAACGTTATTTAAACTTATTATAGAAGAAACTGTTCTTGATTAAATAGTTGGAGATTTATGTTCTATAAAAATGCCCCCCAAAAAAACTTTTTGTGTGGCAAAGTCCAGGCAATATTTTGCACATCGAACCATTACTATGTATAGCCGGTTTAGTCACAATCCAATCGATTCCGTTTTCTGGATTCTATCCTTTTGTTAATTTATAATTTTCACTGCGATATACCTATATATATTATATTATTTTATATGTATAAAACGGTTGACATACTATATTAGTGAATCACTAGTTATTTATTATGGTGTAACTAAGTTATATCATTTTAATATGTCATTTAATATCACGTCAACATAGTTTCTTCCACTCTATCACCAATCTACTCTAATCCTTTTTAAATTGATATCAGCTCCAATTGCATTCTTCACGTCTTTAACCTGTATATTTGACAGCACAAGTATATTGACTGCATCAACTTATTCACTTTTAATATATGAGTTTACTTAAACCACCAAAAGTTCTAATTTAAACTGGGTAATGAGAGATCGTGAAAGGATAATGATTACATATGATTTAAACCTTGGGCAAAGAAAGTTGAGGGGCCATTACTTATCTGTCGATACGGCGACTTAGATCACATTTCCTTCCATAAACTAGCAGACATATAATTACTTGACAAAAGCAATAAGTTTTACCCCTTATCAGTCACTTTATGAAGATATAAAGACTACCTTTTTAATTTGGGGTGACCAGAAATTGCCGTCTTCTTGTTTGCCCAGCCCCCTTAATCTGCTCCTGTGGATGCCTCGTATTTCTTTTATAAATTGATTAATACCTCTAGACCTTCAGTTTCTCTATTCTTCTCCTTGTCTTTTCTTGTCTCCCTTTCATATTCTTTCTTATTTTACTCCCTCATTACCTTGTCTTAACTAGAACTTAATTCGTCATATCTGATGCTGCGTGCGCTAAAGATTTTGACAGGTAGCACTTAGAGCACGAAGAAAATTTGGGGTAATTACAAGGTATGCCAGAGGATACACGTCGGCGCGCTAGTTTTTGGTACCGCTTTAACATAACTGATAGACCTGTATTGAGAGGCAGTAGGATGAGACCGACATCTGGAAAGGAGTCTCCGAAAAAGAATTTCCTAAGGCGGATATGGGAGACATTTTGGACAAGATGTGTACAATGAAGAAAAAGACAAGTGTGAGAAATATTCAGATGGCATCCTGGCCAACAATAGTTTTGCACCTGCCTTCAGATTGTTTTGTGAAAAAAAGACATCAATAACTTATGATAAGCATGTTCAAGTGTCGTGATTTGTGTTCTGATCTACGTCAGAAGTGAGTTATTCTATGTTAAGTTTTGACCAGGGTGAGGATTTCTTACAAAAACGTAGGCCTGCGTTCGTAACATTTCAAAGTTTGACAACAATGAGTGAAACATTCTTGTAAAAAAATGTGTTTCCAGGATGACAGAATGATGATTATATGTGTTTTTATAAGTTTTGCATAGATGATGCCTTCCTCAACCAATCAGATAGAAAGGGGTTATCTCCCTTTGAACAGTGTCTCTAAACAGCCAGCTGCAATTGTTCTTAAATCTACACTCACCGTCATAAATTTCTGGTTAAATCATATATTGCATGGTGTTACATATTGTGTTTGTCCATTAAATATGGGAGATTTTTCTTTGCCACTTATTCTTTCAAATGCTATCGAAGGTTTTATGGAATTTGTAAGTTTTTGAAAACAAAGTATTTTTTTTTCACACTGCCATGAGCCACTATTAAATGCATAAAAGAATAAAGCCTGTTGAGGAAATAGGCTGCCCGAAATTTCCCCACGAATTTTACCTTATTTTCCTTTATTTTCGGGTTTCTTTAAGAACCTAATTTGTTTAGAGCAGACTGCCCGAAAAGATAATATCCCCCCCCACCCTCACCCCGTATGGAAAATATGATCAATATTTTGGTTTGTGTTGTGAAGTAAACATTCAAGTAATTAGTTAAAAAATATTAAGATAAGCTTAAGTCTTCGTTAGTTTGTCACCGATGATCGCCTGATGACTGGGCTATTGAAATGTCTTAAGCTTTGACATTTAACTACCGAATACCAACCGAATCAAGTACCATTCCCAGCAGAAGGTTTCATTGTTTCATTGGAAATAAATTTTCCCTATACCATAACTCAAATTTCTAGCCAGGACAAAATATATTCCATTTCTACACAGTTGGGTGAATTTTAGAAAAATCAAAAGCTGAACAAGGTTTATCAATAAATTTGTCGTTGGTAACATTTTGAGTATTATTTGTGTAGAAATGCAATCGACATGAAAACTGTTTATTTCCGTGCTGGTTTAGAAGCATGACGAGATTCTAACGCCTATCTCAACCCTACAACTATCAGAGATAAACATTAACATTTACTTTTATTTATTTCTCTTCTCACCAGTTTAACTTTCCACTCAACTAGACATAGAATTGCAATTAGAGCTTTAGTGGAACTTGAAAGAACTCAAGAAGCGTGTTACTCTCATTGTTTTCACAATATAGTTGCTAGTTTTTATTTCGATCGACGAACCCACGGATTTGATATGTACATGTAAAAAGCTTCCTGGACAAATTCGATATATTGAGCTTATATCGACTGTCAAGATGTTTAAAAAATATTGGGTAATATCAAAAAATCATCCTTATGCCATATGTTCAAAATATCGAATCAACTTGGCATTTAACCTTGTAAGGCATTGCATTGAACATTCGGTATGGTTGTTTCCACCCTATACTTACTTACTACACAACCAATATTATCGTACTTAACTTCATATACTTACTTACTGGACTACCAATATCAACGTACTGAACACACAATACTTACTTACTGGGCAACCAATATCATCTTACTGAACACTGTATACTTACTTACTATACATCCAATATCATCTTACTGGACATCATATATTTACTTACTGTACAACCAATACCATCTTACTGAACATATTATACCTACTTACTGTACAACCAATATCAACTCACTGAACATCTTATACTTTCTTAATATCATTTTACTGAATATCATATACTTAATTACTGGACAACCAATATCATCTTACTTAACTTAATATACTTACTTACTAGACTACCAATATCATCTTACTTAACATCATATACTTACTTATTGTACAACCAATATCGTCTTACTTAACATCATATATTTACTTACTTATTGTACAACCAATATCATCTTACCTAACTTCATATACTAACTTACTGGACTACCAATATCATCTTACTTAACATCATATACTTACTTATTATACAACCAATATCGTCTTACTTAACATCATATACTTACTTATTGTACAACCAATATCGTCTTACTTAACATCATATACATACTTACTGTACAACCAACAATATCATCTCACTGAACACTGTATACTTACTATACATCCAATATCATCTTACTGGACATCAAATACTTACTTAATGTACAACCAACATCATCTTACTAGACATCATATATTTACTTACTGTACAACCAATATCATCTTACTGAAC